CCCCGTTTTATGAACAGATATAATTAAAAAATTTCTGCTCTTCATTAATGTTCCTGTATAGTGCAAAATTCACACACAAGAAGTTCTTTTCCTCAGCGTTTAATAGCATAGGAAATTCCTCGGTTATCAACAAACGCTGGATGTTGCCCATTTTGCCTCTATTTTCTCCCTGTATTCTGAGCTGAACGTAATTAAATTCTAGTTAACAACATTTTGCGACCCAATTCAACCCAATGACTAAATAGACAACCTCAAGTTTGCATTAAATCCTCTTATCTCCAACCTTGCATCAGATATGCAATCTACTGTATGTGTGTGCGTAATTCTTTCAGTTATCGAGTTATCTGCAAATAATTCAAAAAATATACTTCAATAGCGATTATTTTAAGTGTGAGGCATTCGATAAACTATGAATATTATTCATGTAAATGACGGTTTAACGCTTGTGGTTGTACGGATAAGGCGTGAGATATGAAAGTGAGGTAGCGCATCACACACCCTGCTATGGTTAGGATTGTTCTTAATCCAAAAAGTTCTATACCCATCGTCAGTGTGCGTGACGCGCTTACCTGACATCTCTATAGATGGCAATTCCTAAAGCTTGTAGCGTACTGATGAGTGGTAATATATGTAAAATTTGTCCTTCGCCTCAACGTTCTATATCGCCAGCAGCAAGCTGCTGGCTGGAAACAGTGAGATCAAGCAAGTTGCTAACAACATCAAAGTGGGTAATGTGTTTACTGAACTTGTCTATCTATTCCACTTCGTAAGGTCTATGGTTTACTGCTGATCGGTATCGACGGTTAAACAGTTGTCTTCGTTTCGCCTGACTCAACATTGGCAACACCCCTGCATATAAATGCTAGATAAATGATCACCAATAGGTTATGGACCTCACGCGTCCCATTATGCCTTGGGCCTCACCCTAAAGCTTCGCCAGCGACGGCCTATATCGTAACCCAGATATGGCGGTATTTGAGTCTCGAGATCCCAATCTTGTTGGCTATGTGACCAACAAACAAACCACTGCGCCACTGACTCTTTGTCTTGTCGGTTTCGATAGAAAATATTAACTAGAGTAGACGGTCGCTCACCGACCGGTTATGGTACTCACTCGTCCCATTGGAGTTAAGTTTAATTGGCCGAGTACTTAGTTACTCGAATTTGTTCACATTTGTTTTAGATTAGTAAGTGACTTTTTGTTAATTTGGAAATATTTTATGTTAATTTTAAAAATATTTATGCAAATTGTAAACATGTTTAAAACGGCATGAGCTGGCTTACGCATAAATTTGTACTGACAGCATCCATAATTCTGGGTTAATTTAGCAAGTTCATTTTATCAAAAGAAAGGATTAAACTCTACCCAGGTAAAAAGGACACAATTTAACACGTAATGTGGTTTGATCTGGTCTGAGTTTCCTAGGTTAGGTGTGGTCATATGCCATAAAGTTTCAAATTTTGTTTAACACAAAAATATGTTATTGCTGGCTCGATTTCAAATTTTTTTCTTCTGTGTCTCTTAAAAGCTAAAAGTGTTTTAGGCTTATTTTTGGGATAAAATCATTAAAGGGATCAAATAAGCCCGAATAAAAATAACCTCCGTGTTTGGATTCTGCTCTGAAACGGCATCTTCTTTGCTGATACGGTCTTTTATGACTTCACGGTATATGCTGCCATCTGCAACCAAGGTAGGGCAGTTAATCTTGTCCGCGTTGCATCCTTTTTTCTTCTCGGCATGCACCTGTGCTGCTCCTATTCGATTTAGTACCCGCAAGTTCGATCTCAACAGAGGGTCAGGCTTTTTGTGATCGCATTTCTCTTCGTCCTCCAGATCGGCCGATTGCGCGTTCCAGATAACCAGTGGCGTGGCTGAATGTTTGAGTTGGCTACTTTTCATACAATTGCCTTCACAGCACCTTCGGCATATCTTTGCATACAGAGTCCGAAAAAGGGTGGCCAAGTAGTCACCGATGTTCGTCAGATAGAGGAAAACTAGTGGTATGCCAATCAGCGCGTAACCAATTGTCAGTAGTTTTCCAATATTTGTTTTCGGCACAGCGTGGCCATATCCTAAGGAAGAGAAAAGCATTAAATGAAACAGATGACTCTTAAATATCTAATTTATGATTCGCGTAAGCACTTAAGTTACACTTGCACAACATTTGTCTGCAGAAACAGAAAGAGTCTTTATCGCCTCACGCAATCTCTATATGAGTCCCAGTTAAAGTTCAGGCACCTTGAAATCCAAAATTTTATTTTACGTCCCAAATTATAAAAACTATAAATGTAAGAACACGAGTATGCTCTAAAGATTCTGTTTTGAAAGTGGCAGTAAGCAAGGATAGAGCATGCGTACGTTTGTCACATCCACACTGGGCTAATAGTTTGAGCACTATGTAATCACCCTGTGTTAGTATAACATTATTGGGGCACCAGTAAATGTGCCATAGATATTCTAACATTTCTTGCATAAAATAATGTTTTCACTATCGATATGACACCAGACAACGAGCGCCCCACTCCCCTGGGAACACAGATGGCCTTGCTCAAAATTGCACAGGCCGATTTTTTCATCGCTTAACCCAAATGTTTATAATTAGATTGATATGATACTTAATACTAACACTAATCTACCTCGAAATTAGTGCAGCACCCGTTTACAGAGGGTGCCGAGTCCCACTCCCTGCCTACTAGCCTTATGCTATTAGAAAATAAGTAGAATAAGAATTGATTTAATTACCCTCAGGTTCGCATGAGCTTTCAAGATAAAACGTCAGAATTATTGTTATTAGCAATCAATTGAATCGATAGCATGAGTTTGACGAGGCGTATAGTCGCTCACTTACACACTCCAGTTGTCATTATCTTCATGCTTGCATTCAAGTGATAAGGCGGAAAATACATTATTATTATAGTTCATAAAATTTTCCCTTCCATAAGTGATGCAAAGGTATTTATCTTAACACAGCACACAACTGTGAATCTACCTCACAGCAGAGGACAAATAAATAATTTCTATCTGGGTTACACATCGGCGAATGCACAGAAACATCTGCTATACGAATGGTTGAAGTTATATCCTCAAGGTATCGCAAACATTAAGATCTGCAGTACTTTTACTGTTTTGTTGCATTTAAACGTTCACAGAGATGAAAACTCCTCAGTATTATTTTGCTTTAACTCAATATAAGTAACTTATTATATATGTTAAACCGTAGGCATCTAAATTAATGGTCTTTATATTGCGTTATCAAGCACTCTGAAAAATTGACTGCAATGAACATGGCTAGGAAGCCGAAATATCACATAATAACTCGGATGCTTAAACTTAATGTATAAGTCATATTGAAAATAAAATATCACTTTGATTTTTTTAAACTAACGCAAAATGCTTCAGCTTTTCAACAAAATTTTAATTTAACTGAGCTATTGCCGCATATTTGCATGTCCACATTGAACTATCGTGGCCGCATAGTTTACGAAGCCCTATATTTTACTCTGATGGGAGAACTAGAGAAACTTCAGTAAAAGATAAATAGACAACTATATCAGTAATCTCCTTTTTTCAATGCAAGCCACTCATGGCAAAATCTGTCCTTTCTGTGAATTTCTACTCAAGTGTTCATAATGGAGGTATACTTACAATGGTTAATATTACATGCAATTATAAGAAAGGAGTACCAGAAAATATGAGGCAGACTGGAATAACCGTTTCTAGCTTATAAGCAGTTATTTTGCGGGTTTAAGTGGCACCGCATTTGAGTTTAGACCAAGTGACCATTAAACGTTATTATGACTAATGTTCGATGAGTCAATCATGGAAACATTGTATTGTCACCTTTGCCCAGCATACTCAAAGAACTTTTGCTGATCAGATTACGTATAAATCTCTACCTCTAATTACATATAAGTGATTTTCCCTTAGTTGATTCTATTTAATTCAATATGTTTGTTCATTTTAAACATATCTAACTAGAATTAAATATAAACAGGACATTTACTGTCATGTATAACTATTTTATCTTATAAGGTATGAACTGCACGCTCAGATCTAAATAATAAAAAAGCTTTAAACAGACGTTTTTCATATGCAACTGCATATTCGTAAAACGTATATTCAATCCTCTTGCAAACAACGCAGAATGCACATTTTACAAAAACAAGTAAAAAATAAATTATTAGCAGTCAAAATTATTAAGTAAAATTTAATTTACCTATAGTCGTTATGACTGTAACTGCAAATAAAATGGATCCTTCCCACGACCACTTAAGATCATCCGGAGAATCTTCACCATTCCAGCCCTCTTGTTCCATGAGCTTAATTAACTTTCGCAAGCTGCCGTGAAGCTCTTGGCGCATTTTTCGTCGAAGTGTATAGTCAATAACAGAGAGCCAACGTCTAGTTCGCTCGAACTGCGATTTTTGGCATGATCGACGGACTCGATGATAAGATGTGCTAGATGGAGACCTTAAGCCATTTAAGGTAACTTTAGCTTCTGTAGACTGTAATTCTGTCTCGTTAGGTGCAGGTGAAGTTCCACGTTTGGGAAGTTTGTAATACGAATGGGTCTGAGTATCGTATGCCAAGAGATGATACCGGAGCTGACGAAGAATTTCCGAGGAAAACTTATCGGCCAAACCGTCTCGCATTTCCTTTCCCTTGAGTTTAACGATCTTTTCGTGCTCCAGTTCAACTGCCCGAAATATTAGTCCACCAAGAACAGTGTAGCCCACTACTAACACCGACAAACCGATCTGCGAGAAGATAAATGCGATAAAGCGTTTGAAACCGGTTCGGATTTTTTTCAATTTCTGACGCCGTTTGTCCGCCTTCTGAACGTATGTGACTTTTTCAAGAAGGGTAGTTGGCGGTCTAGATGAAAGCGCAAATCCAGCGCTAAAGTTTCCGAAGAATCGAGAAAGTCCCAGTTGATCCGGACGAGATCGAAGGGCTCCAAGGTGACTGCCTATCATTTGCCTGAAGGGTAAATTAAAACATTTTTATGTCAGTTTGAATTCACGGTAGATGGTTTGTTTGAAGTGCCAACTGACAGACGTGCCTTTCTTCGGAAGCTCCTGGCCATAAAACATTTTCTAACGGTCGGGAGCCATCGCGCTGGAATGGTCATTTCAAGGGCAGTAGCAGCTGAGAATTCCTACGCTTTTGACCAATCAACCGAAGTTTCGTCCCGAGCGAATGGAATGCGGTGATCCTGCCAGAAATGACTACTTGATGAAAACCAGAAGAGAGAGGAAAATCTCTTGACTGGTTTCATAAATAATTATATGATCAACACTATTATAGAAAATAATACCTTTAAATCACCAACATGAACAGTAATGGGAGGTTACATTGATTGCAAGTTGCAATCTTGCTTTTAGGCTTAAAACAGCGTTGCAGTTGGGTAAAAACAAAACAGTAAATACAACAGTCATTAGCTGAAATTTGTCAAAAAAGGAAGTAAAAATAAGAGAAACAAACTCAATTAAGAAATGGCAGGAAAACTGTGAAACTATACAATCGATAAGATGCTAAAAAAAATCGTCTAATTCCGTCTACACAAATTGTGAAAGCAAGCTCTTCGATATTAAACCCCGCTTGCAGCTAAAAGGAATTTATGTTTGTATTGGAAGGAGCTGAACCTCATCGACAAATACGAACAGAAAGCGTTCCATCTGCGATACTTTACAGCCGTATGTCATCAAATTAACGAACGAGCACCACATAAGTTTATACTTTTTACCTTTTAAAATGAGCATTATTACTTTTACTTAGATTCAAATTTTTCAGTTAATGAGCTGATTTGCGTTCGTCTTTCTGAAATGTTTTTGTTAGACCGATGCAAATCTTGCTTGAAAACTTGTTCCTGGCAATTGAAAAGGTAGCAAGAATGAAATGTTTGTAATTTAAGAAGCGAATCCTAACCATTTTAAAATCTTATTACCCGATACTAACCAATATTTTTACTCCTAAAAGCTCCCATAAACACAAGTATAAAGAGTAAATTGACTGAAACTAACAACTTGTTAAGGAAACTTATATTGTCAGACACGAGCGTATAGTCTTAACAAAATTAAATTAAATTTCGTGCAGCATGTAACACTTTCAAAATGAACACAAGGCGCAATGTTACGAAAGATTTTCATTACAATCTTTGGTGACCGCTCAACGTTCGTAAACAGAACTTAATCGTCCTCTTCTGTTTTGAGCTTAGCTCTTGCACCCTAATGGCAGGCGTTCCGGAAAAAGCGAAAAATAGTGGAATGGTCACTGAAAAGACAAAAACGATTTGAGTGCTTCTTAATAACTTCCTAGGACCGTTCTGAGAAAAACGGTTGTTTCAATTGCATACTAATGTTTGCACGAATACACATTTTATCGCTTAAGAAAAAATAAAGCTGAAAGACTGTCATTCGCCTTACTGTTTCCGTAATTTTTGGACATACAACCTGATTTTCTAAGTACCTGTCAAAAAATTAACAATTGAGCAAAAATTTTAATTTTTGAGCGTACCATCAAATAAAGTTATAGCAGTACACCGTAAGACAGAGTCGGGAACTGAACAGAAAAATCAGTGCTGGTATGCAAACGGCATTTATTGTGGAAGATAATTTTAAACGTCAAAGATCAGCTATGTCCTATTAGAAAGAAACTCACAGCTGTGGATTACTGCAATTGGATATGACGCTCCTTTTGGCCAATAAATTCTTCATTGGTAATTGCGGTTTAATGCGATGTATAAGGACTGCGTTATAATTCATCAGGCATAAATTCTAGTTAACAGTAAACGGCATTTCATTATTTAAAAAATAGAAGAATGAAATATGCCAAATGGGAGGTGACTCAGATGAATGCAAATAAATACCAAAAATAAAAAAAACGAAACGATTCAATCGCCTGTGATTTGCAAATAATGGCCTCCGGCCGAATGACACAAACGTTTCAATTAAGCTTAGCTTCCTACAATCTTCAAATATTTTCCTCCAATTTGTGCTCATGTCTTTTAGTTATGTTCATATGATTATTATCATTATCGATTTTGTCAACTTTTGCGGTAATAACCTTCATAATAATAATTCATATTACACGACCGCATGGTTGTTATGCCATAACGTAACTAGGTAATAAGAAAAAACTAGTAAACACAAGCTTATCCTGGAATTATCTGCATTCCAAGAGCGTTTTTGCCAAGATTTTTCTGGCCTTTTTATTTGAGCCGCCATTTTTTCCCATCATCTAATCACATGTCAGTTTTCTTATATATACATCGGTTGACCTACTTCGTCCATTATAAACCGAGCTTTATCACACCTCGCTTGATTAAAATACAATTTCGTCAGGATGGCACAAGGTTGCAACGCTAGCGCTGTGTTCAAAGCAGTCCAATTTGGCCTTTATTCGACGACTCATACTAGGAAAGTTATGCATGAGTTCGCAAATTGCAGTCATTTGCGATTATGAATTACTTTTGATATTCCGGTGGTATGAGTTTGTGATCCTAATTTCATTATTTTAGAACGAGTACGTTTTTGATGAACATTTTGGACGTATAATTTTAAAATAAAGCCTATCGTTCTCTCTCAAGATTGGCGTGTATTTTCCGATGGCGGATGTCGGGTTTCTTGACACGCTTGAACCGTTAGCAAGTGCTTTGCGGTTTGTACTGTCTCAAGCTTACTGGGCTTAGTAATATTTTGTGTGGCGTGTATTTATTTAAACTTCGAAAAAAACTCTAAATGCTTGTAACTGGGTGCAGTCTTATGCATTTGTCAATGTTACGCAAATAACGTGCCAGCTCACATTTACACATCGCCAATTAATGAAAGACTATAAAAAAATCTGTCATAGATTGGTGTTTGCTCATTTGAAAAGCGCAATAAGTTAGCACGTAAAAAGTGCTCCCCTGTGGTATTCAACTAAAGAATGTCAAGTTCCTATGGTTTTCCTTTTTGGATAAAAACGTGCCAATCATTTGAGGGATTTACCATTTTGCAACATTCTAATAGCTAAAGATTGCTCATGAAGCCTGAAAGCTTGACACGTAATCGGCACCATGTCTTTGCGCTAGACCTGTATATTCGCAAGTTGTGTCCAGGACCCCCAATACATAATTGTTTTTCCGAAAAAAATTGTTTACACAAGGTAAAGGTTTCTACCATTGTCAGGTCAAAACTACAGAATTATTGCTTAATACCCCCATAGTTAGATGAAAGAACTAAATTTCTTTCAATCTCAAATTTTTGTGTGCCTCATGGATCTCTGTTATTTTCGTAACCCCTGTTTATCAGTGCATATTCCTGTATGTAAGGTAAGCGCAACACTGAGATTCTGCAGCCAAACCCTCTTTTGTTATTTAGCGGAAATATAAAAAACGGGGTCAAAATTAACGTATTTTTATTTTTAATGAGTGTAAGTGGTTTAGGAGCCTAAAATTAAGTAGCTTTGGAAAATTAACTCTGACAGATAAGCAGTTTTATTATATGCAGGCCACCAAATGCATGGATTGGTTCCTGTTTTGTAAAACTTAAGTGATCGAAAACAGAGAGTGGCAGTTTAAAAGGCTAAATTTCCGTAGGTTCATTTTAATGCAAAGTACCTCATGCTCCTTTTCGTTAAACTAGCATTGTCTGTCAACCGCAGTGCCGGTAGCAATAATTTCTGAGGGTTTACAAGTTATGTTCTCAAAGTGTTACCTTGCACTTGGGACTATTTTGTCGACAGTCGAAAAATGACATGGATAGCAAAGGTTGATAAATTTAATGTGTTGTAACATGAAATGCGAGGGGCATTAGTGTTCCTTCCTTGTGAAACAACATGTGTATATCTATACTTTGATGCCCATAATTTGGTTGCGGAGTTAAAGGGACTCAGACTTTTAACGTGAAGAGCACGCCTGGTTTTCAATTGAATATTGTTCCTTTCAAAAGTGTGAGAAATTGATCTCAAATACGCATAAAGAAGACCAAATTGTCCTTTGGGCCAGAAAACAGTAAACTTTAATATGACAAAATAGGGACTTAGTATACACAAAAATACACTGAAATCTCATAGACATCGACTCCTTATTTGACGTTGGAAGTATGTCTTGTTTAAATGGTTGTGTTCATTCTAAATTGCCAGACTAAATTAAATGCTGCAATAAGCAAGCTTTATTATGGCTGGATGTATGATTCTCCTCCAATTAAAAGTCGCTAATGTAGGCAAGACTCGTTTACTGCTGAGTTCGAAAATCAAAATCAGTTCACTTGACTCTTCTAACAAACTGCTTCTCGCTCTACCGGAAGCCATTATTTTAGGTTTTATATGGTTTTCGTACGCAAAAGATCAAGAAATTAATTTTTATACTACGCATTAGGAAATAGCCATAATATTTCAAAATTAACACTATACTTTTCGTTTGGTCAAACTTGACGAACTCAAAATTTCAAAAGCCAGTTTACCGGGTACACACAAGCTATAACATCAAAGATCCCCATCGAAATATGATTCAAAACTTTGCCTTGTAAAATGTTTTCATATATGTATAGGTTTGTGAACTTTTTTATTCTGCAACACCCATAACGGAACCACTAAAAACATTTTATTTATATCTCCAGTTTTAAGGTTAATTAGGCCTTCACGCGTTGCAGGTATAACTATCTGCAATTGGGGAATTTCGTGTCACGCAGAATAAAAACTCCATAAAGCGCTCTAAATTAATCTTGACAAGCTGCGCTCCTTATTTATTAAAAATATTTCTCTACTGCATTTAATGAATTTTTGGACTGTTCATAATGTTTTCCAATAGGAGAAAACATTCTTAATCGTAAAATTATATTTTGCCTAGTTCTTCTTGGAGGTCCTGAAAAAATGTGCCAGTTTTGAACTTAGTTTGCTATGAGCCACTCCGTGTCTTTACTTTTAATTTAACTTCCAGATCAAACATTCCCTCAAGTTCGATTTTTTACTCGGTTAAATTGTAGGCGTGTTAAAG